ATGACCAAGAGTCTGGATGGCTTAAAGACGGGCCACCAAACACAAGTATTGGATGTTGGAAGTCCAACTCCCAATAGACAAAGATCAAACTTAAAGAGAAAGGTTTGGGCTGGATCAACTGAAGACAAGTCTAACAGCAGTGCACTACTACCAATGATAAATTTAGCAGCAAAAATCACTGCAGCTGTACCGAGGATTGCTTAAGCTTTAAATCTCCCCATCCCACAGTTCTTCCGGGGACTTGAAAGGTCCATGGGGTGAGACCATTTCCAGTTTAGGCATTAATCTGTGCTGCCGAATTTCATTGAGTTTCTTATAATCGTCCTTTGATAATGCCCAGTCAAAGATCTGCAGGTTCTCCTTCATCCTTTCTTTGTTGAAGCTCTTAACCACAAAAGTTACCCCTTGCTCAAATGCCCACCTTAGACAAATCTGCCAAGGTTCCAAATCGTTGTAATGTTTTAGTCCGTTAATATAACTCAAAAGAACTAGAACGCAGAAATATTTAGGCATATAACTGGAATATGTTTCTTTTTTTGATTCGTAAAATTAACATATCAAAGTAAAGGCATTGCAGAAGCTACTTGAAAACAAGCAGTAGAACCTGAGCAACAGTCTTCTCATGAGCTTTAGCGATCTCCTTCAGTGTTTCATTCTCCATAACTTCATCAGTGCCCCAGCGGGTCCCTTTTGCTCCCAGAGGAGAGTAAGCAGTTACAATAACATCTTTGGCCTTGCACAACTCTCTGAGCCTCTGCTGTTGCCAGAGAGGGCTAATCTCAACCTGAACAAAAAAAATTTATGATCTTCATTACCTAATTATTGCTTGTTTACAGCAATCAAAGGCATGAAAACAAAAAGTAAAGTACTTAAAAGGAACGAGAAAGACTCACTTGATTCACTGACGGGGATATGGTAGCAAAGGAGAGTATGTTTCTAAGCTTCTTGCAGGAGAAGTTACTGAGTCCAATAGATTTTGTGAGACCAAACCTCTGGCACTCTTCCATGGCTGCCCAGACTGACTTGAAATTCATTGCTAGTTGTTCCTCTTTTGGTACAGGGAATCCAATTTTTCCAGGTTTAGCGCTTAGAGGCCAGTGAATGAGGTAAAGGTCCAGGTATTCCAACTGAAGCATCCTGCATATAGCCTTTCTAATTACCAAAAAATCCTGTTCAACTATTCTTTGAACCGATCAAGTACTCCATAACAGCAAAATGATGCTGACTGCCAAACAATGCAATCTTTTGTGCAGTTTTATCAATACAGATGATCCGCCTCAACTCTAGTTTTCTACTAAAAAGGTTCATTTCAGCCATAAACTACATTTAAGAGGCCAGGGACGAGATTCTTAAGGCCACAAAATAGAAACTTTGATGATTATAACAAACCATTTCAAATGGTAATAGTAACAGGCATTAACATGTTCAAATTTCCATTGTGATCTCTTTCAATTCTCCTTATGCCAGCCTTGGAGTTAGCATCAAACAGCAATGGATCTATCTAATTGCAAATTATTGAAGGAATTGACCATGACACCTCATGACTAATGTTGCAGTGTAATAATTCCTGTGCAAGAATCTCATTCAGTTGCTCTGCTCTCTCTCCTTTTTGGTCTTTTCTGTTTTTTAACTTACCTATTTTATCTGTGAGACACAAAAGCTAAATTCACGGCGGTCAAGCTAGGATCAGATTCTTTAGTCTTTGATTAAGGGAATTAAAGGTAAAGATTTTACCTCAGAGAATTCTTGAGAGCAGGGACAACAAGATCAGCATGAGCATCAGTGCACCACAACTTGGAAGTGATGAATAGTTCTTCCCGAGATGCGATGAGGCCAAGTTTAAGTGCTTCTGCTAAAGCTTCTCCCAAGGGCTTCTCGGACCTGTACAGCGAGGCAGTGTCAAAGTGCCTGTAACCAACCCTGATAGCCTCCAGGACTGCCTCTTTCAAAGCTGTTTCATCAAAGGGGTCTGCCATCGTGCCCATCCCAATCTCGGGCATGTTTCGGTGGCCGGAGGAGGAGCTCAATTTCACCTCCGGAATGTTGAATACGGTCACTTCTGGAACATCGGCCATTTGCTATATCACAGCTGGAGCTGGAATAATGTCGCTTATTGATTCCATCTCGGGCTGTTAGTTTATATATAACTGAACCCCGTCTTTTACAAGCTTTACTTTCTCCTTGGAGTTGTTTTGTGGGGCTTAATAGTTTCAAGATGAGGTAATCAAAGGTTCCGATTCAATCATAATGTTATATCTTGCTGGTTGGAATCGTTGATCAGTGTTGGAAGTCAGAAGACTGTTTACACTTTACATTCAAGATTAATAGATCGCTTAATCAAATCATGAAATACTAGTAAGTTAGCATACAATTTAATTAGAAAATTTTCTTTGTTGCTACTGAAGAGGGCAGTTGATCTTCCCCAATGACTGACACGAAAAAGTTTTCCTTTAATCGTTACAAAAATTACGACTTAGATAATTTATACTAGTGGGATTAATGCTAATAGATCCATTTTTTCTAACAAAGAAGCCTGGATGATACCAATGCTAGTTTCTGAGGACATGTTCATATAAGAATGGATAGCTTTTGTTAGCTTTTTAACAGACTTTTCTAGAAAATCAAAGCTGTAACAATGGAGTCAAAGCCACAGAGAAAATGAACTTTTTTTTTTTTGGAAAGAAGAACAATTTTATAAGGGTAATAAGCCTTTCACATATGAAGGTTGTTTACAAGAAGAAGAAACGATGCCTATTGTGTTAGACTTTATACTCAGAAAATATAAAAAAATAACACTCACAAAAAGAATGGAGACTCAACAATTAATCACAAAAGAAATGAAAAATAGTTTGAATGTGAAAACTTAATTCGAGGCACTTTATAAAAGACGTTGATTTCAATATAGATTTCCGTGACAATCTCAATGCAAATAGCAATCAATGACGTTCTATTTCCAAAATATAACAAATCAATCAAAAATCTTCTAATATGCACTCAAATAGAAAATTCAGTAAATTAAAAAATCTCCTAACTGCTCTTATTAAAGGAATTTTAAAATAAAGAAAAATAGAGTTTTTAAAAACACAAAATGCTTAGATTAATCTTATGAAAAAGAAGGAATGAGGAGAATTTTGAAATTAGGATACAAGAGATGAAAAGTACTTTTCGACAATGAGAGGATAAGTGTTTATAGATAATGAATTATCAACAATGTGTCTTTTTATTATACAGACACATCTATTAGAAAATGAATAGATGTATCATTCTAATTATTAAAGAGACATACTTTTTTACAATTAAGAATCACATCTCATCATAGATATATTAAATTTTGAATCACCAAATAAAATAAAAAGCCAGCATCTTATACAACGATTTGTATAATAAAATGTAAAAAAAAATGGATCCATTCTCAGTCCCCGATGCCCAACAAACCTAAGGTTTTAGTAGCACTTCGCATCTGCAATCACAAGGCATAACAAACAACAGACAATAAAAGAAAGAAAAAGAAATAAACCTCAACACATGATAAGCATGGTTGATAACTAATAAAAAAAGATCACGTGGCAGGCGCAAGCCTTGTCAATTTACCAATTAAGCTTGAGTTTTTTGCCCTAAATGAAGGGAGCAAACTTCCATCTTTAACACACTTCTTGGAAGTCTAATTTGCACATTCCTAGCTTAGCTTTCAAAGTCTCGAACTTCTCTTTATTGAGTCCTTTGGTGAAAATTTCTGTTAACTGATCATCTGTGCTACAGTACTTGACAGATCTCTCTCCATTCTTCACTGCTTCCCTAATTACATAATACTTGATTTATGCTTAGTCCTACTATGATATATTAGATTTTGAGCTATTGCTATGGCAAATTTTTTATCCAGCCAAATAGTAGTTGATTTATCACAATTAAACTTTAGATCTTGGAGAATTTTTCTCAGCCATATCGCCTGATTTGTAACTAATGCAACTACAACATATTTTGCTTTTGCAAATGACTAAGCAACTATTTCTTGTTTTTTTAAGTTCCAAGCAAAGATAGCTTTTCCAAAAGAAAAGCAATAACCACCGGTACTCTTCAAATCATCCACACTTCCACCTTAATCACTGTCATACTAGCCTTGAAGCTCCTGTTGTCAACTTTACAGAACTTCAAGCCATAACTCAAGGTTCCTTTAATGTGCTTGAGTACTCTTTTAAAAGCAATTAGATGAATCTCAGAAGGCTTGTGCATAAACCTTGAGACTAAACTAGTGGCATACATAATGTCAGGTCTTGAAGCAGAAAGATATAGAAGACTTCCAATTAACCTTTTATAATATGTTTCATCTAAATCAACACCTCTATCATCCCTAGTAAATTTGCTACCACAGGCTAGAGGTGTTACAACAACTTTATAATTCTCCATTTTTAACTTTTTCAACAATTCCTAAAGCATATTTCTTCTAATGTAACGAAATATGACCTGAACTTTGCTGAATCTGCATACCAAGGAAACAAGACATTTTTCCTAGATCACTCATCTCAAACTTAGTTTGCATCTTAGTTTTAAAGTCATCCACAAATTTACCATCTAGTCTTGTAATAAGTAAGTCATCAACATAAAGTGATATAATCAGTTAAATATTATTACTTAACATGGCACTTTTAATCGAGCCTTAACTTTGCAGGTAACTGTCCATTTGTTCATAACATGTTCTTAGGGCTTGTTTAAGCTTATAAAGGGCTTTCATTAGCTTGTAGACTTTGTTCTTTGTGCCTGGTTCAACATAGCCTTCAAGCTACTCCACGTAGATATTGTCTTTAATGATCCCATTCAAGAATACAGATTTGATATCTAGGTGCCAAATTTGCCAATTTTCTTTAGCTGTAAGTGCCACTAATAGCCTCATTATATCATGTATAGCTATTGGGGCAAAAGTTTCAAAAATATCAACTCCATGTACTTGAGAAAAACCTTTAACCACTAATCTAGCTTCATGCGTATTAATTGAACCATCAGAGTTAAGCTTTGTTAGAGTTAAGCTTTGTCTTGTACACCCACTTAACTCCAATAAACTTTTGCTTATCTAGTTTATCTACAAGGATCCAAGTCTGATTCTTTCTTATCATTGGCATTTTAGCTTCCATGGCTTGTCTCCATTTACCATCTGCAACCGCTTCAACATAGGAACTAGATTCTGTAATTGCAACATAGTATCTAGAATAAATGTCTTGCCAAGACTTTGTTTCTCTTACATGAGCCTTATCAACATTCTCATCTAAATCTTCATTTGTTTCTGACTTTGACAAGGAATATGCAATAATTTCTTAACTCTGGGAATTTTCAATAGCATTCGGATCCCAGTTCCATTTCATGTTCTCATAAAAAACTACATCCTTACAAATAAAGAATTTCATTATTTTAACATCTAGCAACTAGTAACCTTTTGAAACTTCACTATATCCAAGGTGTATAGCAACGAGTGACTTTTCACACAATTTATTTAGCATAACCTATGTAACCAAAAACTTTCAGTTGTTCAATTGAAAGTTTAACACCAAACGATGCTTCATCAGGAGTCTTACCTACCAAAGCTCTAGTTAAAGCTAAGTTGAGCAAATAGTTTCCAATGTTAACTACCTCTACTCATAGTGACCTTGCAAAACCTTTCTCAAACAGCACGCACCTTGCCATTTCCATCAAGGTTTTATTCTTTCTCTCAGAAACACCATTTTTCTGGGAGTTATAAGATATCGTCAACTAATGCACAATGCCAAACTTACTTAAGTAGTTTTCAAACTCCTTGGCTGTGTACTCAATACTATTGTCACTTTTTAACATTTTAGTAGTCAAGTTCATCTGATTTACAACCAATGCTTTATACTTAATAAACACATTCAAAGCATCAAATTTGAACTTGAGAAAATATACCCAACTAAACCTTGTAAAATAATTGATGAACATTATATAATACCTGTTTCCATTGAGTGATGGAGTTTTCATAGGACACCCTAAATCAGTATGCAGTAATTGTAGCTTTTGTGTGGCATTCCATCTTCTAATCTTAGGGAATGATTCATGTTTTGTTTTCCAAACTGACATATGTCATAGACTTTTCCATTGTTTGACATCCATGGTAAACCATCAACCAAATTACTTAAAGCCATTAGCTTAAGTAAACCATAGTTCACATGACCAAACCTTCTGTGCCATAATTCTGTATTAGGCTAGGTACAATTGTAAGTAGTATGCCTAATTTTCATCCAGTTCAAAGGGAAACACTTGTTTCTCATTCCAACTATGAAAAGTTCTTTCCTAGTAAGATCTTTGATAGTGTAGGCTTTGTCTTTGAATACCAACTCAAAGTTTTCATTTACAAGCTGGCCTACACTCATATAGAAAACATTTGAGATTGATTTAAGGCTAGTAGGTGTCTGAACTCTTATTGTACCAGCTCCATAAATCAAAAGAACATCACCATTACCTATCTCCATTTTTGTTATGAAACTATCATCAATCATGATAAATTTTTCCTTGTAACTAGTCAAGTAATTTGAGCATCTATTATCCAGTAAACAAGTGTCCTTTTTTTCATCATTGTTTGCCTTCCTTACCATAAACAGAACCTCTTTTTCAGCTTGGTCCTTCTGCTCAACAACAATAGCTTTCTCTTCCACTTTAGCACCTCGATTCTTACAAACTTTCTCTACATGGCCTTGCTAGTGACAAGCTTTGCATTTAACATTTAGCCTATACCAATAAAACCTTTCAATGTAGTTTGTTTTCTTGCAATATGAGCAAGGTTGAAAACCTTTTTTCTGATCTCTCTATCTTTTATCATTGTTTTTCTTCTCTTTTTCCTTCCTATCAGTCCCTGATTTCCTTTGGTTTTTACTACCAGTTTTTTTATCTGAGTTCCTTACCATTAAGGTTGCCTTAACATGAACTTTTTGCCTAAGAGCTCTTCTCTATTCTTGAGCTGGAAGAGCATTTAACAGTTCAATAACAGATATTAACCTTAAGTCTTTCGAATCTTTCAGAGATGAGATTTACCCTCAAATTTCTCTGGTAAACTGACCAAGAGCTTGTTCACAATCCTTTTCTCAGAGACATTTTCACCCAATAGCCTTAAACGGTTCACAACATTAAGAACTTTAACTGCATAACCTTGTACAGATTCATCATTGCCCATTCTCAACATTTCAAACTCTCTTTAAAGGTTTAGAGCTAGAATTTGTCTAGTCCTATTACGGCCATGAAATTCTTCTTTCAACTTATCCCATGCTTCCTTAGGTGCTTTAGAATTCATAATTCGAGTGAAACTAAAATCTGAAATAGCAGAGTGAAGAACTGAGAGAGCTTTGTACCTTTTGGCTACCTCTTTATTATATTGCCTCAATTGAGTAATGGTTGGGTTAACAACTCTCAAAATAGGAAGGAGTAGAAACAATGAAGCAGCTAAAATCCACAATCTCCCATAAATCATAAGCTTTGGCTTATGTTTTGACTGCCCAAATAAGATAATTTTGCTCTGAGAAAATGGGAGGAGTAGAAACAATGAAGCAGCTAAAATCAATGAAACTAAAAACAGAGTAAAATAGTAAAATCACATTAAAAAAAAAGGTTCTCCTATTGTCCCTCAAGATCTTTTAATGCTATGATATCATGTTAGCTTTTTAATAGATTTTTCCCAAAACATCAAAGTTGTAACAATGGAGTAAAAGCCAAAGGGAAAATGATTTTTTTTTTTTATGAGAAAGAAGAACAACTTCGTAATGGTAATAAGGCCTTTTATATTAAGGCTGTTTACAGAGAAGAAACGATGCCAATAATACAACGGCTTGTATAATAAATGTAAAAAGAATGTACCCACTCACAATATTCTATGTTTAACAAACCAGAAGCTTTAGTGTCACGCATTTGCAATCCCAAAGCATAACCAACAACAGACAATAAAAGAAAGGAAAAAAGGAAAACCTCAACACGTGACACGCACGGCTGATGACTAATAAAAAGATCACGTGACAAGCACAAGCCTGGTCACCTAACTAGTTAGGCTTGAAAGCAGACTTCCATCTTCAACGGTTTTATTCTTTAATTAATATTTCAACTCAAAAATCTCCTTCACCATCCTCCTGGTTCCTTCTTGCTTGTAGAACTCGTCAAGGAACTCTGAGTAATGAAATTTTCTATACACAGCAGGATGTTGCTCATCGATCAAATCCTCAATGGGACCAATAATGGCGTCTCTGCTTGGAGCATAAAACGTTGCCAGTGATACTCGTTTTAGGGTTTTATTCGTCACGGCCCTGTGGTGCACACTCTTATACCTTCCATTACTCAGAACCTACAGGCATGGAACACATCATAAACATTTACTTGTCACATATAAACAAAATCTCATCTGCTGGGACTGAAAATCACAACTAGAGTCCAAAGAATTTGAACCAATTTATATATTTTTCTAATACCAACAAGTGAGAAGAATGCAATATGCACGCAAGTTTTGTTTATTTTATTAGAGTAGCTAATAGATTCTATACTTTTTCCTACACTCCGCCTTTAGGTTTAGGCTGTTGGGTAGAAGTAGAAGGGAAACCAATAGCTTAATAATGGCCAGAAATGGACCGATTGGAATAGCGGTTTACAAATTTTATGGCGCTTGGAATTATCACAGATGTCGTAGAGATGCGGAGCTTATCAAAATATGGCAAAATTTGGAGTAAATTGCATAATTAGTCAATGACTTTTTTTTTTTAGTATTTCATTTTCTTACGTATTTGTTTTGTGTATATTCATCAAAGTATCACATAGGTTTGATATATATTTTATTGCGTGTATTCAAGGACAGATAGATTTGAAATAAATTTAAAAGATTGTGAATGAAGAAGTAAAAAGTTTTAAACTATTAATGAAAATGAAAATAGTAATGATGCAATTTATTAGAACTGTGAAATCAGGGTTGTTAAAATTTAGGGAAACATTCTTGTTACCTGAATCTGATCGCCCAGGTTGATGACAAAAGCATTGGGGATGGATTCAACTGCTACCCATTTCCCATCTTTGATCACTTGCAGTCCAGTTACCCCTTCTGTTTGACTAACAATTGTGAGGGCATTGAGATCGGTATGAACATTTAGTCCTAATGTGAGCTCAGGGTCTGGACATGGTGGATAGTAGTTTCCTTGTGCTCGAAGAATAGGCTTCTCACCAAGCTTCTTTTCAAGACAATCCTTTTCCAGCCCAAGCCCTTGAGATATCAAGCTTAATAGCCTTTTCATAAGAACACCAATCTCCTTTGCATATTCAGCAACAACCTCTCTGCAGCCAGTTAAGAATTCAGATCACAATATATAGAGAGAGTAAACTTGAGAAGCTTAATTGAAGCATGAGTGGATGACTATAAAAGTTAGGAGAGAAAGCAGAACACATACCGGTATTGAGGTGGATTTTGTGGTAAAAGATGGATGATATCATCTAAGGGATGCCAAGGGTGAGAGAAGCATTCACTCCACATTGAAACCTTGTTTTGGCTTCCGTCTTTAACAAAGTAATTGAAAAGCTTTACTTGCTTGGTGAGATCCGTTGAAAAGAATGGTGCCTTTTCTTCAGGTGGCAATTCAAAGAAGTCGGTGATAACAGCCATCGTTTTGTCACATAATTCTACGGGTATTCCATGATTGATGATCTGAAAGAAACCATACTCCTCACAAGCTTTCGATATTTGCTCAACTACTAATGCAGATGGCTCCTTCAGGTCGATGATAGGAATTGAGGCCAAAATGGATATCTCGGACAGGGTTGGTCTTTTCTCTTGAGGGAGAATATACTTGGGAGTCAGAGAAAGAGGACCGCCGCCGTTAGCCAACCGGAAGGTTTTGGTTGCCATGGAAATTTCTGCAAGCTGAAAGAATAGTCAACTCTGAACAGAAAGCCGCGGATCAAAGCAAGTGCTAAAGATTTTTACCTGTAGACACTAGCATATTATGTAAGGAATGTAGCTTTCATTGATATCTTCCTCTTTGTAAATCAATTGTCAATTTATCAAACCAAGACAAATGCGTGGCAGAGCCAGAGTCACGTCCCACGTGCTCATTAAAGAGTAAAAACTTGCCTGGCAGTCCGTCAGCTGTGCTTTATTGGCTTGGCTGCATCTGGCTTTTCCAGTTCGACTACAGACGGATAGCGCTTGGATGAATTATTTTATTTATGTTAAAGCTATTATCTTATTTAATACAAACAACTTAAATTTAAATAATGTTAAATTTGTTAAAAATAATAAGAGAAATAAATTTGGTCAATTGATGACATAATTACATATAAAAAGCAAAAAATTATATAATAGATGGTAATATTTACCTTCATTGATTACAAAATTATATCAACACATCAATTATCTACAATTACAAAGGCTATCCTAAGATTATTATTGATTACAAAAAAAAAACAGTATTTTGTTTTGTCTTTCTCATTTCATCTGATACGGCATCGTTCGGATAAAGAAGACAAAAAGTATGGAAAGGGGAGTCGGTTGATTCAAAGTTCTTTTTATTGAGTCACATCATTGATTCAAGCCCCAAGTCGAGATTAAAAAAAGAAGCCGTTGGCTATATATTATCTGTTCTAATTATATTATATAATAATCATGCTGATCATATATTTGGAATACATGAATATATCACAAAATTATAAGAGTTTTATTTAAATTACATATGCTTTGAATATATATAAAATTCCCATAAAAAATATGTTAAACTGAAATGATTTCCATAAAATGTAGTCAAAATTCATTTATTCCAGACATACTGAACCCCTTGTTTATACTACACATCCCAGACAATTAAAGTGCAAAAGAAATCAAAGTTGTTGATCCAGATATGGATCCCTAGGAGTCTTTGGCCCGCTCAGATATCCTCCAACACTTTGCGAAACCTCAGAGACGATGTTAGTCACCAATGAAGTTCCCCATCTCAACCACCCCGTCTGAGCTTGCTCATTGTTTGCCTCTTGCGTGATTTTTCTTTGCTCCTCTGTGATTATTTCGAGCCACCTCTTTGACATGAACTCTTTAACAGCATCAGCCCCCTCCTTTGCTATCTCCATTGGAGGCACTATGAGTGGGTTCTGGTCCAAATTGAGCTTTGATAGTTTTCCAAGGCGGCCAAATGTGTAGGGTAGAGCTCTGATTTGATTGTTGCTAAGATCAAGTTCCCTGAGATTAATTAGATCACTAACAGTTGCAGGAAGGTCTGTAAAGTCATTGAAATTACTGCTCAGGTTCAGGACTTCAAGGCTTGTCATTCTCCCAATCACTTGTGGCAGGCCATGAAGCTCATTGAAATGAGCATCCAGATATCTCAAGGACCTCATTTCACAGATTGATGGCGGCAGGAAGCGTATCTTATTCAGCTGGATCGAGAGCTTTTCAAGATTTAAGAGTCCATACCCAACGTTTGTTGGCAGACACGTCAAGTTGTTAAAGCTTGCATCCAACTCCACCAGTGAACTGAAAAAGAAAGATAAACTCATCCGTTAGAGAAAACCAAGTGCAAAAGAACAGAAAAGGAATGAATAAACAACTGCTAAGAAGCGGTGAACAAAACCAGTACAAGATTTTACAGAAAATAAAGTCATACCTGCATCCAGCAATGCTTTCAGGGAGGGCATTTAGCTTGTTTGCCGACACATTGAGGACCCTCAGATTAAGCAACAATCCAATGGAGTCAGGTAGAATTTGCAAAAGGTTGGAAGAGACATCAAGCTCCTCAAGTTTCTTTAGCCCAGCTATTGAATCAGGAATGATCTGGTTCCCACGCAAAAGCACAAAAACATCAAATATATCATTGAAAAATGGAATTCTGCAGATAAAAATACAGATATTATCTTTATTTATTGCATGAATGAACAATTACAGGTTATATACTGATCACCACCACTATTACCGTAGGCGTGTAAATAATCGAATCTACGCCATATTGTTATTTGTTAACGATTAGCATACTTGCATAACTATAAAATTGCAGAACGACTTGATTTATCTAAAGATAAAAGCAGGGAGGAAAACTTTCGTGCAAAACATAGGCTACTAAAATAGTCAACTTGAGTATCAAAGTATTTGGTTGATCAACTGATACAAGATTCACTAAAAAGAACATAAAGCACCTACTACAATTCTTAATTTAGACCTCCCATGTTTAATTTCATTCACAGGCCAGAAAATACCGTAATCAACTTTGAAAACTGGAAAAAGAACATGGATACAAGCATACACTCTAATACCTCTAACTGATTATGGGAAAGATTGAGATAAACCAAACCATGAAGTTTCCCGAAAGCCTCAGGCAGTAGCCTCAACTGTCTCCCAGAAAGCTCAACTCTTTCAACCACCCCACTATTCTCAGCTTCTTTCAATATCCTCACAACTTCCTCATCAACTTCATCTTCACCTCCTATTTCCTCCACAACCGAGCCGTAAACACGACCCAGATTCTCCTCCACCTCAGTCAACTGTCTCTCGTAATCCTCGTGCATGTCTTCCAACCTGAGCACCGCCTTGTATATCTCGGCCTCCTGTGAGGAAGATTGAATTTCTTGTATCTGGGCAATCTTGGATCGGGCCGAGGAGACTGCTGATGGGTGGGGGCGAGGACCCAGGGAGCGGAGGGCGAAGTAGGTTTGGGTGACCGTGGGGGGGATGGATTGGGAGAGTGAAGATAGGATTCTTGGGTCAGTTAAACGGGGGAAATGGGTGAACAAATTCTGGTGGGTTTGTGGAGGGAGTGATGGGTAAGTGTAAGGATCTTGTTGGGAGAGGATGTATGACAGAATCGGGAACTTCGTACAATCAAGATCCATTAAAGCTTTTCTTTCTAGTAGAAGATTGTAGAAGAATGAGATGAGAAGAAAACAGGGTAAGGGGAGGGTGAGGGGCAGTGAATAGAGGAGCGTTTGACGGGGAGGGATGACTATCAGCGCTGATTTTCGACGTGCCTACTGCAGTGTGGACGTGTGTAGGCTGTGGCATCACAAAGGTTACGTCCTGTAGCTTGATCTGGTTTTGGGAGGTTTTCTCCCTTCCGCACATCGATTGATCGAATCCTTGCTCAATTAAGTTTTCGTTCTTTGTTGGGCTAATGTGTCTTACATTCTTATTGTTGGGCTTAGGCATTGTTTACCTTATGTCGTGTTTGAGCCAGCCCGAGACTACCATACAGCAGGATTTACTTTAGAACGCCAATTTGAAATCACAGCTAATAACATTCCGATGGTTTCCTACAACGTCTAACCCTATCACCATTTAATCATTTGCCGCTATGTTTATAGCTTACGAGTATTTGAACACAGAAAAGTAGTTTTAAAATAAAAATGAGGATGATTTGATACTCAAAAAACATACCATCACAAAACATTCTTGAACCATATTGATATGCATATAGCAATGCTTTGAAGCCAAAAGTATTATTTAATACTGTAAGCAAACGCGATACCAAACAAGCCCGACTAGGGGGTGAAATTTGTTTTGCATAAAATTGCACCTGTTTCTTGGGGGCTGCCTCTTCAAATTGTTTTCTTATCATGTCGTAAGTTGTAACAAAACCATGTCAAACATTATTAAACAAACAGTCTAACACATCCTCCTTCTTGGATTGGATCAAGACAATGATGATGGTTTCTAAGCAGGAACAACAGTTTAAGAAGCACAAGCCCTAGACCAATCAATCTCAACACAATCTTTTTGCATCAAGTGAACTAAGAATAGGAGCTTCTTAAACCATAAAAAAGATGCTGAGTCTAGCCTTCGCTTTTCCAAAATATCAGACCAAGCAAATGGTGTAGAGTTGGCCCAAATTTCCTCCACAGGTTGGACCCACTCACACATAATTGCTCTCAGTGCCTTTGTAGGCCCAGGCCTGCCCAATCTATGAACAGTTTTAAAGGTTTTGTAATGTACTTTTTGCCTTGTTAGTGGAAGGAAATCATTGTGTTTCGATTAAGGACAATTTTTAAAGGTACACATGAGGATGTCATAAATTACTATAGAGGAAATGCGTCATTATCCTAAAAATCACATCTTCCTTGTATATTTCACATCTATATGACTCAAATATAATTTTTTTTCCCTTATTTGTTCCAACGTAAAAGGAATAAAACTAAACTAATTTTTTCTCTTGGTCGAATATATGTTCCTCTCTAGTCTCTATCTCCTCTATACATATAATCTTGTCTATATATCTCATTCTAAGCGATTGCCTTGCCTTCCATTTCGCTGCTTGAATCTCCACCGAACCAATAATTCCGATCAAGTCCCAATCTATTCCACACCAAAAAAGGGTTCATATACAGTAAAACCACAAGGCCACACAAGCTTAATCATCAGTTTCAGACTTTCAGCCACAGCCTGGCCTCTTGCACATTATCACCAACAACAGGTTTCAGCTCCAACATCATGATCACTCATCAACGGCGACCTCACAGCTCTCAAACGCGGATTAGACGCTGTGGGATCCATGACGGCTACCACTTTTTTAAATACAGAAGCACTCCTCTCACTGTCAAAAATAGGGTTCCCAAGCTCATGCTTTCTGGGTGGCATGGCATCCTTCCTTTTCTTACTACTTTTCCATTTTATCATATTCAATATTCGTGTTAGGAGGAAAAACAATAGGCAAAAAAAAGCCAAAGATCACATGGTGGGGTAGGGTAACGTTAAAACCACTTTATCTTTATCTCCGGAAGATGACTATCATCAAACTCCCGTCATATCTATGTTTGTTTCCCTTTGTTAATTCTATTTTTAATATTGTAAATCCGTCGTATCTCTCCAAAATTAGGACAGCAAAAGGGAATCTTCCTTTTTGAATGATACATGAGTGGAGACCCTTCCTTTGAACCAAAAATCATATGCTCGTATCGTTAGCAGCCCTTTGCTCTTCCTCGTTTTTTTCTTGGATTGAAGGCAACTCTTTCCTTTTGCCTTGTGGTTTCGTCTTCTTTTTTATTTTTTGGGCCTTATTTCAACGAAATTACTGTTGTTATTATTATTCTAATAATTATTATAATAATGTTGAGGGCGCACCTTCCTCAGTACTCGTATATACCAGCTGTCAAATGGGACAGGGATTATGGCTTTCCCTCCATGCATGTTCAATAAATTCTCGTAATGACTCATCTGATTCTCCAAGATGGTCCCCATATGCTTCCAAAATTTATTGCTGTTGCTACTTGGAATTTGTTTGGTATTGAAACAACCATTGCTGCGCTGCTGCGTTGCTCCTTTGCAATTAATGTATCGAATCTGGTCAAAAATTAAAATCACTGATCAGGAGTTAGCTATGGCCCATAACTTAGCATCAACAGCAACAAAATATCAAATCATTGAACAGTGAACGATGGCACAGCCAAATCGCAGTACTAGTAATAAATATCATAATACTCTACAAGATTCAGCAATCAGATTAATCACCTGTTTATCACTATTGGTTTTAACATCAATAAGTTCCAATCATCCTAACTGAAAATCATAGCCCTGTGTTTGGAGATGATCTTGATTACTTGATTGAAGTGATTTAATTACTCATCCAAAACTAAGGAATCGTACTAGCTATTGATTTTTTTTTATTTTTTTATTTTTTTTCCTTTAAATAGATATTCTCAGCAAAACGATATTTATCTGGAGCTGGACGTAGTTGCTTTATCTGTGAACGCGTCAAAAGGTGGTAAAGATACAAAAATACAGAAAACGACATGAGCTTTCCTTCAAATGATTCATCATCACCTAGATTCAAAGTATCTTACATATTCAATTAAGTAATTAACACCATGTGTTGAATATCAGTAGTTGGATTTGGGTTAAATACTTTGTAATTGGCCGAGGTTTGGTCCAACCTTGTGTAATACTATTTGAGATGAATGGCAGGCTCATTGATGCAATCTTAAATGCATAAGAAGACATTGAGTCATAAATTAATGATTATATAAAAGACAAAGGTTTGCCTTTATTATTCTGGACATAAAATATTATGTCTAAATAGGTATAGAAAAATATGAAGCAAGTATTAGAAACCCAAAAATGGAGAATATCAGTAAAAGCAACTTACATTACATCTCGCCCCCGTTGCTATCTCAGATCATTTAATGGCTGCTTTTGGTGTTTCATTAAGCCCCAGTTAACATCTCTGTTAACCTGCAAAATCAAAATGGAATTACAATCAGAAAAAATCAAACTATAAAAGCAATTCAAAAAAACAAAAGTGACGCCGGAAATCCAAAGTAAAGCAGAAAAAAAAAAGCCCCAAAAAGGGAAACGGACACCACACCAGAAAATAGGGTAACGGAGAAAAAACACATGTAGAGACGAAAAATACGTAAAGAAAACGGACGAGGATAATGCCGGTATAAGCGTCACACGCGTGGGACACACGTGTTAACCCAGCTAGGAGAAGCTGTACAGAATAAGGGAAAAGGAGCATGGCACGCCAATACTGGAATCTGATCAAAGCCATCAGCTGTTTAACGCTTAACGTGCAAATGGCGCTTGAACGGAACGGAGAACCCTAACACCCGAAAATTAAAAAAAAAAAAAGAAAGGAAATAGGGGAAGCTGTCAACTGTGAAGTGAATGGTACTGGACAACAAACATTCCAAAGAAGAAAAAAAAAAAACTCACCATCAGAAAAAAAATATATTGGGTATTTAGGAAGATGATCCAGAACGAAACTGGAGCTGGAGAATTCATTAATGGCCACGCATCATCAAAAGCAAACCTTCTTAAAGGATTTACAGGTCCAAATACATCATATAGCTTAGGTTCTTTTTTTTGTTTGTTTTCTTTTTCTTCTATGGGTAGTATTTCTTTACTTGTTCTTCGCGGATTCAGACAGGATCATAACAGTTTAATAAATTATGATCCTTCATGGTTTTTTGGCCTGCTGCTATTGCCAGTGGTTCCCGTTATGAATAAGGTAAATATGACTAGGGTTTCCATGATGAACATGGTAACCATAGTAAGGAATACTTTTCCCCGCAGATTTCTCCGAGCAAAGAGGGAAAGCGACGGGAGGCCCCGAGATCTGACGTATGCAGGAGAACCTCGGAGTGGATGAAGTTGATGACTTTGAAGACGAAGCCGATGATGAAGAAGGAGAAATTGGTTTTTTGGTGGATTTTGGCAGCGAAAGGAAAGCTCTGATCTTTAAAGAAGAAGGTGGCGATGCTACGCGATCGTATTCCTCGATGAGATTCGCGAGATCCTCATCGGAAGTGATCGAAACCAGCGCGTCTAGATCCTCCGTTGGCAACTGGCAACGTAGACTCACCGCTGTCCCACACATCTCTCCCATCTTCAACAACAGCTCTGTAGCATATAATATATTTCACTCTTGATCATTTCTCCGTACTTAAAACAACGCCCACTTATAAGCTTTAGCCTAACTTAAACTATACTTCAACTCAAAGCGCAAAAAAAGAAAAAGGGATATACAGGAAAAAGTAAAAGGATGGGTGAAAGAAAAAGAATACTGACCAGAAAAGGAAATGGAGCGATCGACGGCAAGGACACGGGTTTCACCGCCCTGATAACGTAGTTTACCATCAGGGTAACGGGGGAGGATTTTGCCCCCGTAACTGCAGAGGAATTTGATAGTGGGGTTAGGGCCGACCATACTTTTCCGAGGTTTGGGTACGGAAGATAAGAGGTCCAGTGTTTGAGAGCCGAAGAGAAAGGAGTAGGGTAGCCTTTAGGAAGAAGGGGAGGAGGAGGAGGAGGGCGGCCTGGAAGATGCTTTTGCAGTGGCGTCTTCAAGCCTAGGTTTGGTACTCCTGAGCCCTTATTTATAGAGTTTCTTCTCTCCTTAACAGATGCGGGGAGGTGAAAAGTAGAAAGGGCCCCACTCAGCTAACGTCAGCAGATTCCAATTCCTAAGGTTAAAGCTTTAAAGGCGCTTTTGCCTCAAACACCCGTTTTCGTGTTTAATTGTGAAAGCTTGGCACTCTTTGCTTCAACCCAGTTCCTTTCACATTCAAATTTGCAACGATTCAACACTATAATATCGATACTTGATTTTATTTATTTAAATTTAGCAAAAAAACTTATATATATCGTCATCAAATCATAGAATTCAATCTGAATAGATAATAATCCCATTAAGTAATAATTAAGATTATAAAAATTTATTGATCATTAGCTAGTAGTGGTAGTTATCCTCCAGTGGGGTCAAATTGTAAGGTTTAATCCCATCATATATTCGTTGTCTAAAATTTTTCCAAACGCTTAACATACAAAGAAAAAGGGAGTAATAAAATGAAATTTACGGGGTGATAGTTTTTTTGTTGGGTGATTGCAATGTTTTAGTAGATGAAAGCAACTCCTCCCCCTATTTTTTCCCCTCCATTTCCTCGTCTTTCCATTCTTAACTCTTGTGGAAAATTTAAATTTCGTTAGTTTGTCAAACCCCAAATGACAATCTATTCGCTTTATTTTACAACCGGAAGACTGAAACAAAACTGAACAGAAGCATGGATGGAGCCACTGATATTCCTTTGATCACAGAAATGGAACTCCACAAGAATTCTGTATAATCAAAAGTATAAATTCCATAAGAATGTTTTTAAACATCACTTTCTATTCTCAGCCACATTTAATTAATTTACTTCTCCTTGTCAATTTTTTTGGGTGACTACATCAACTGATATTTTCGCAACTGTGGTCGGTAATAAATCATAAGGTTTTCTCTTATTATTAATTAATATTCATGAAAAAGGTTGACAAAGAGAGAAATTAAAAAAAAAAAAAAACAAGGTGTTAATTTGTTAGCGCCCTCTATCTACATATATATTCCTTCAACTGAAAGCTTCCTCCTCGTCGACAGATGGTCCAGGGCGTCATGGCCCACATCTGCAGTCTTATTCATTTCAATCGCAATGATAAATAATAATCAGCACTGCGAGGCATGGGATCCACAACCGCTTTGTTTGTACAGCAAGACTGAGATGCTTCGGCCCTTTTACCCCTCAACAGATGTCGGAATACAATTGGATAGCGGCATCCTCATCTTTGAACCAGCCATATTTATAAATCTGCGCTGCATTTTGCGAGTATGTATATGTTAATTATAGAAATTTATTAATGTTTCCCTATGATATATGTGCCACTCCATTGTCTTGGAATGCTGCTTTGTGGTCCTGTTCCTTCGACGGTCCACTCTTTAACATGGAGAATTGCAATATCAAGCTTCTTGAAACTACCAACAAGAAGTTTGAACAAAAGGACCATGTCTTTCTGGAATATTTTGAACAAAAAAAAAGATGGAGCTAAATAAATAATAAAATATATATTATTTTAAAATTAATAATTTCTCAAAGAGATATTAGCGAGATGTTTGAATGCAGTGATTCAAATTATACGCAATTCCAGCTTGAGTCACTGTCCATTAGGGGCATTCCTTTTGTGCCTAACATGGGTATATCACAATTTCTTTATGAAAAGATAGTGTTATCTTTGTGAGGTTCCATACAAGTGGAAAGATGGCGAAGCTAGCATGCTCCCTATACAGTGTGATAATTAAATGTTGTGTTCATCATCCATCATCAAATCCAAATGTGACATCCGTCCGCTACCACCAAAACTAATTACAAAGTATCATTAACAATTCTCCCTAGTAATTCTCACGGGAACTCTCAGTTTGATGGTAACAGTTGAGATGCAATCATGCGGAATTTCCGCACGGCATCGAGTATGATCACTATCACAAAAGCAGAGGAGCAATGGTTATTAATATCCAAATTATGATTTATTAAGTTTTTGTTTGCTATTGATTTTCTATTATTACTTTCCAAAGCTAGTTATCCAGTAAAGGAATATATTCAAAATATTAATATTATTTTTGAAATTAATTATTGCATTGGAAGTAAAAAATAAAAGTGAAGATAACACCTCAATCCATATAATTAGGTGATTTTAGAACATTACAATTAGTAACATTTGTCTTTCTTAATATTATAATAATATATTCATATGCATTATTATTATTACTAAGGACAGAACTGCACTTATCTCAAGTGAATGACAACCGTGATTATCTTCAAGCACGAGCTACCTTAAAAAAATGCCCATCGTAATGTCATAGTCTGCGTTGATTAGTTGAAAACTATAAATTAGATTATTATATCACATACCTTATTGTTAGGAATAAACAAACATGACTTCTCGAAGCATCAAATTAATACTTCCGGTCTCTATCACCCTTAAACTTAATTCCATTCATTAAATACAAGTATTTTCCACTTGTGTCAAAATGTGCAGACACAAAATATAAATGAATTTCGTTATGTGAGAAAAGATTGAAATAATTAATAAATTAAATATTTAAATGTATAATATTATTATTAATTTATAATAATTTTAATAATATAATTAAAAAATAAAAATAAAAAAACAATATCACTTTTCATCTTATATAATATAAGATAATATTTAACATAGTAATATTTAAATCTTCATTCATCTATTAATGATTATTAATGATTTTACATTAATATGTTTTTAAAATAATATAATTACATATCAACAAAATCAATTAAAATATATTAAATAATCAAATCAACTAAATACGACAACACTCTAATAATGATTAGGATGGAAACGTAATATCATTATTTATTGAAAAATTTTAAATTTTCATTTTTTAAAAAGTGAAAATTAAAAATATTCTTTTTCTTTTTGTGTCTCTTTCTCTCCTCTCGCCTCTCCTTCTCAACTTCGTCTGCCCGTCGCCTCTACTGTTTTTGTTGGGTGTGTGTCTTTTCACTTGCACCACACACTCTCGAAAACCGCTCTGAGAAATACAATGCAACTAAGTGCGGAAACTAGTCACACTGAATAAATATTGTTCGGGAAATACAATGCGAAATAGTGAACACAAAGTGGGCCCGCACAAATCCCGAAATATCGGCTCTGACAGGAATGCGCCCGCCACCACCCGTCTGTGCTCCAGATGCGTGCTCGATGCTCCTGTGATCGCGTACGTGCAATCCGCGATCACTTCCGACTTCCTGACGGCCCGAAATGCGCCTCGGAAGTCCGCTGTCCCGTATCTCCAAAACCGTGCGTCGGATGACGAAACCGACGTCGCCGTTGGAACCGCAGCGCGTCAAAACCCCCGGGGTAGCATCCCCGTCGAAATCCGGGTCGGTCGCCGGAGGTTGCCGGAATCCGGTCACCGGTCGTCTTCTCCGGGAACTGGTTTTCGGTCAAACTCGACCAAAACCAACGCGACCAGAACTGATGCGTTAGCCTCCTCCTTGCGGTGCTCTCCGCGCCAACCGTCGCTTGAAATACCTCCCGGATCGGTGAAACCGAGCTCTCCAAGTTTCGGTCGCCGGAATCCCGCCGTCCGGCAACACCACTGCCCAAGACCGGGCTCTCCAAGCTCGCCTCAACACGCCGTGCAAGGATCCGCAGGCTGTGAGAATCACCTCCCTCACCGGAGAGAGATCCGAGCCCTCCAAAGGTAGCCCTCTCCTCTCTCTCTTTCTTTGTTTCGATTTGTACCCGAGAGCTCCACACACGCACAGACCCTTCACCAAAGTCAAGAATGGTGGGGTTACGGTGCGTCATAAAATAACAGTTTTCAGGCTAAATGCCGCAATATCTGACCGGATCTGGCCAGTTAAGACTCGAAACGAGCGTCGGTATGGCCAATCCAGCTTGTTTCAGGTCGAAAACGACCTGTTTTCAGCTTAAAAATCGACTATTTTCGGTCTATTTAACGACCTGAAACAGGGCGGATCTGGTCATGTCGAAGCCGAATCAGGCCTCCTATGGCTAGAACAGAGTTGATGATGGCACGATTCAGCCAACATGTAGCTGGAGAGAGGGAGATAGAAGAAGAAAGAGAGAAGGAAAAAACGAAAAATTTTTTTGGCTATTTTTAGCAAATTATAAAAAAAGAGTTTTTATTTTTTCCAAAAATTGTAATTTTTTGCTTTTAATTCACAAAAAAAAAATTTATAATTTTGGGAGATAGAGAAAAAGGAAAAATTTTAAAATTCTTTAATAAAAAAAAATTGTTTTCTAAAGGTTTCAAATTATATTGAATTTTAAAATACAAAAGCATTTTTAAAAAACTTCAATGTTTATTTTCATAAAAATAAAAATTAATTTTTTAAATAATGTATTGCAGCATGAGTCAATCATCCACTTAAAAATCAACACGGCATTTATTTGGTTATATGACGCGTTCTAATTAACATAATGATGTTTTATCAATTTTGTTTTACATGTTCATATGGATAGATAAGGAAAAAATTGAAGTACCATATTGGGCTTTAATTGGTGCAGATATGATATTATACTTTTAGAAATTTAAAGGGTGAAATGTAAGATTATTCCTAATAAAAATGCAAGTTGACATTTAGATATTACTATAATCCAAGGAGTGCAATTTGGAGAACGTTTGACTAGTTTGAAGGATAACCTTGGAAGATTTAAGCTAAAAATTGCTCAAACTTGTTGTCCTTTTCAATGATCATGTCATGCAATTATCCAAAGAGAAGTTTTTGGAAGAAGCCATACGAGGTCCTACTCTTCCCCCATTGCTATAGAAGCTGTATATCCTGTCACTCCAAAATACTATCATTTCTGCGTAATTTTCAAAAGGTGCTGAGCATATCCGCCTTTATCTCCTTATCTTTTTGATGAGAGAATCATGCACTATCCTTGGTTCATCCCACATACATTTGGCCCTTTAATATATCAATTTTCGAGTATTAGTAGGCCCCAGAGATCAAAACCCACCAGGAAAAATTGG